AAGGGTCTTGGTAAGAGGGAAAGATGCAGTGGGTGAAAACTTAAGAGATAGATCACTACTACCAATGATGTTTAACTTTTCACCATTGGTAGTAACAATATGTTTGTGATGGGTTTTAGTAAGGTTATTTGGTTGGTTAGGGTAGGCTCCTATCATGTGGTTGGTAGCTCCAGAGTCAATGATCCAAATATGAGAAGGAGAAGCACAATAACCGGAAAACTCACCAGGTAAGCCAATAACAAAAAGAGTAGAAGGAATAGCAGATGTTACCAGTTGTCGAATGTTTTGCTCAACCATAGATGCTAGAGAATCACTTTTCACAAAAGAATCGCCACTATCAGAGGCCATTTCAGAAAGAAAACAACAGTCCAGGCACAAGGATATCAGAGACAACCAAATTCAGCAATCAAGAAGATGACAGTCCAAAAAAGGCAGGTTTTTAAGACTCTCTAGTCTAAGGCCTTTTAAATATGAATCTGAAGTCTAAATCAAATAAATGGGAGGCAAGAAAACCCTAGGACAACACCAGATCTAGGGTTATAGGTTGACCGAGTCAGCCGATTGAGAGAAATCTGTGATTTACCAACACATCAGACGTCTTCTTCACAAACAGAGAGGTATCTTATGCTAATTGAGGCAGTCCTTAAAAACTCCAAACCAGAAACTGAGTGTAGGGTTAAGAAGAGCTTGAGAGAACCTTTCGATCTAGAGAGAAAAACTTAAATCGCTGGCTGATGTTGAAGGCCTGAAGTCCAAAAAATGGTTGCAGTCCAAAAATGGAAACTGTAAGTGCTGCCGCCCCAAGAAGAAGATCAGAACTCCTTTGAAAACTTCACCAAATCATATGCTGTTTGTAGGTGGAACAGATCAGGTCTAGGCGACACTAGATCTGAAATCCAAAGCTGTTGCAATCCAAAAAAGGAAATTGTACAGTGCTGCCGCCCCAAGAAGAAGATCAGAACTCCTTCGAAAACTTCACCAAATCAGATGCTGTTTGTAGGGAGAATAGATCAGGTCTAGGCAACACCAGATCTGAAGTTTGGTCTCAAACCAATGTCTCCCAAGAGAGATCTAAAGAAATCTCTCCTGCTGGTTGCACAAAGAAGAAAGAGCAGAAAAGTGTTGATCAAGACAGCCCTAATATGACAGATTTATTGCTTCTAGTAAGGTTCAAGAGAGCGAGAAAATAGATCAGAGAGCAACCTGCTCTGATACCATGTCAACACTCTTGGCCGAATAGAGAAAAGAACGAGAATAATCTTAGAGGTGTCAAGAATGAATGACCCCCACCTCAAAGAGTCTCTTATATATTAGAAGATATGTACAATTACAAGAATGCCCATACAGGGCTGAAAGAGAAAAGAAGAATAAGATGTAAAGTAATATACAATAGGGACTATACTAATAAGGTACATCAAGTTATAGAGTATCCACACGCCCCCCCAGCATATGCACAAATCTTGTATGCTTCTTCCTTTATTAGGTGACCAAAGCAGAGGGGTAGAATATTATAGAGACGTGTAAGAGCTGCCATTTGCTGGACAATCTAGGAAGAAAAGAACTCGAGGACTTTTTCGGAAAAGGAAAGGAATATTGATGTCATATTGAAGTAGTAACTATTAGAGTGGTGCATTGGGTGAAATCTTTGGAAATGTTTGAGGATATCTCTACAGATATGATAACTAGGAATTGGAAGTGGCTAATTCAGCTCCACTCAAAAATAAAACTAGTCCCCTTTGGTCTCCACCAGCTTCTGGACTTATTAAACTGAACTTTGATGGAAGAAGTGAAGATAACCTAGGGCCTTTAGGCATTGGAGGAGCTTCTAGAGATGAGAAAGGGAAAGTTATTGTTTTATTTTCTGATTTTTCCATCCTATTGGTGTAGGTGATTCGCTTAGAAAGCTAATTGTTGAAGGTGAATCAAAATTGGTTATAAGATGGTTGCAAAAGGAGGAGAATGGACTATGGAAGTTTGCTAATGAAAAAAGGAAGTTCAAATGGTTAATCTAGGGTATGGAGGTTCAGCTGTAGTGCGTAAAGAGATGTGCTAACTCCTTTGCGGATACTCTTGCTAAACAAGGGGTGGGAAGGGAACAAAGACATACGTCCAAGATTGGTAAAAAAAGTTTTGTTATTGGTAATAAAAGACATACGTCCAAGATTATAATCAATTTCAAAAGACTCAATTTTTCACTTTGACAAGAACCAATCTAGCACAATTATCCTTGCTTGGTTACATCAACTTCATGTCAACTTCTAATCGTCCTCCCCATGTCCAGCTCCTAAAAAATACATTAAGAGGGAAAAAAAAAGGTTATAGAACAATTATGGAATTTTGCAATAGAGCTAACAAATAAAAGATTTTTATGCAATCGAGGAACATTAAGAACAAAGCTCAAGGAAAGGTTATGGGTAAGCTTGACTTCACCTAAACCTGAGATTGGAGTCTGAGATCCATTAGCTACAGTTATCTTACTTTTCCTTGAAGTCAACTTACATGAAGTAAAATAGGAAAGCATACCAATAGAGCTATGTAAACCACACTTCTCTAAATGAATCAAAAGACTCCTGAGCTTGTCCATCACATCAAAAGTCATGTAGAGAAGATTAAATACCAATTGTCTAACTGTCACCACTAATTGTGGCTAATTGAGAATTTACCCTTCTTCATTGTTTTAATTTTTCAGGTTTCAAGTTTGAGTTCAGTTTCCAACACCCATCCTTGGTGTCCTTAGGTTCTTACAATATTCACACACCACTACATCGGTCTTCTCACTTGCAGCATGCAAGCCTGTACTCTACCTAGGTTTAGAAGACATAAAAGCAGAGTGTTCAACATTAGTGCTCTACATCATAGCAACCCTCCTACTCTCTTCACCTTGCACCAAAGAATATGCCATAGCAAGAGAAACAATATTACCACTAAGGATATGTTGTTTGGTGAAGTCGAACTCCGTATTTAATCCAGCTAGAAAATCAAACACCTTGTTCTTCTCAATATATTTTCTATATTGTTTACCATTCTCCTGGTCCTTCCATTCTAGGGCCTCCAAATGGTCAATTTCATCCCAAAGAGATTGTAAAGAGGAGAAATACATAGCCACAGTCCTCTCCCCCTAATGCATATTGCAAGCCTCTCTTAGGAGTTGATAAACTCTAGCAGTGTTTTTGACTTGGGAATAGGTGGTTGTCACCATATCTCAAATGTCTTTAGTGGTAGAAAGAAACGTGTAGTTCCTAGCTATCTGTGGCTGAATTGAGCATACCAACCATGACACTATGTCACTATCAAAGAATTATCTTGTTCCCACTTGAAAATCCTATTTTACCTCGCCTTCCAATAATAAGTTTATCCAATTGGGACCACTCAATAAAGTTAGTTCCATCAAGTTTCATAGTGGTTAGCATCCCATTAGTGACATCAACACTTCCAATAAGAATGCTAGAAGTAATATGAGTATATCTTTAGGAGTCACCATACTTCACAGCATCTAAGAAAGATAAACCTTACTTTAAGAATACTTTCTTGCCACCTCCTAGGGCGCTCCAAAAATAGTTGGACCAAAAACAAACCCCAACAATTGGGTATAGTTGTGGTTTAGTAGTAAATAGGGCCAAAAACAAGAATTGGAGGCAAAATATAAGGGAACAAAACAGAAATCCCAAAACTGACATAAATGGCAATAGGTCTTCAAATAAATTAAAACTGGCCAAAAACATGAGACCACTCCCCATTTTCAAATAAATTAAAACTGACCTAAATGGCATAGGTCTCAAAGATTAGAATGGTTGCAATAAGACGAACAAGCTGGAAAACCCACATCCAAATTTTTTTGTAATTTTAGTCTAAAAAATACAAAAAATATCTAAACATCTTTAAATGCCCACAGTATGCATACAAAAAAATCTCCTAAAAGAAGGGCACATCAAACCATACCTAAACCAAGTTCAGCTGTTGCTGATTGTACAAACTGCTGATGTCACCTGGTATTAATATGGTGTCAATAGGCCTCCATGAAGGTGAAGCTCAGCAGTAGAGAGCCTCTATACCTCCCTACTCTGATACCAAGTAGTGAAACTCAAGTAAACTGAAGAAGAAGAATGAGAGGAAGAAGAGGAGAAGAGAAAGATGGTTGAATGGATGGAGTGTATTACTATTCACTCCTTCAAGAATTTATATTTGATGACAAAATTACATATATACCCTTAGATATAGGTGGCCAAATACAGAAAGGTACAAAGACAAAGTAATCCATACAAGAAAACATATCCCCATCAAATATATATAAAGAGAGAGAGAGAGAGGAGGTTTGCAAAAAAGACATTTTTAAAAACTATGCACACTTGGGTTGAGGCCCTACTGCCCAAGGTGCATCAGGCATTCATTTTTTCAAAGGGGACCACATCTAGGTTCAGGCAAGGCATCATGTCTTGAGATGCACATAGCCAGATCGCCTATCAACCATTCTATACTTGTTCTCCTTCTGTGATTTTCTATCACTAGTAAAGGTGCATGTGCTTTCACATAGCAATTTTAGACAACAACGGTGATGGTTATGATAGTAATAATATGTTTCCAAATTTTTCTACAATTTTTTATTTTTCTCTGTATATAAAAATAGTTCTTATTTATAACACTTATTTTTGTTTAATGTAATGATTATATGATATCAGAGATGTGTCCAAATGTTTTCTATAAACTTGCTGTGATTTTTCTTAATTTTTTGTGTTTTTTAATTTTTATATGATATCAAGGGTTGACACATTTGACCCAAAAGGCTAAATTATTGACCCACCACCAAATAGGAAAACAATTTCATTTTTGGGTTAGTTTCAAATTTTGTATTTCATTTCCATCATGAACAAAAGCAATTCTTGTTTATAACACTTATTTTTCTTTAATAATATGATTAATACAAAATATTCCGTTTCCACAAGTCATAATAGTGATGATAAAATTTATGAAACCTAGACACTTAGCAGATCAATCAATATTACCTGATATGCATTAGCGGCAGATTTCACCACAATTTCAGGGATAAAAAACAAGCATGTTAACCATGCCCAAGAAATAAGTTTCCTGTAGAAAAAAATAAGAAATTCAGATGAGCACTTTAACATATGAAACGAATTTGCAACCTCAAAAAAAATTGCAAGTCGTTCAATTTACGAAGAAAATTAGTGGAGAAAAGCAAAATACCACTCTAAATCATGCCATAGTGCTACAAATGTGAATATAATCCACACATTCAGTAGCTTTTTCTGTGAACCCCCAAGAGGAATGTACATATACCTGAATTATAGACATTCACCAATATAACATTCATGTTACTTCACAGACACAAATACCTGAATCATAGACATTCACCAACGTACATATACCTGAATCATAGACATTCACCTTACAAGCCACTTGTTGAAAGAAGCATGCCAATTTTTCCAAAAGCTTTCCAAATCATAGCAATTGTTAATGCATTTAGGCATATTCTCAGGAGCTTCAATGCCTGCAGTCTACAATATCAAGACCAGTATTCAGTAATCTTCCAGTTAAATATAATCAACCTTCTAAAGTGAAACACTGCAACGTAAAAAGTTTTAATGAAAAATATATTAGTTTAATCCACAAATCCCATAATCCCCATAACCCAAACAACATAACACAACCCTCTTCTAATGTGAACTGTGACAAGTAAAAATTTTGATAAACAAAATATACCGAGTGTAATCTACAAATCCCATAATTCCCATAATCAGAATAGCAAAAAGCTTAGACCCTAGATTTTTTCCATTCAAACTGTAATATACCTAAAGTTCAGGACAGTAGCAGAGAAAGAGAAAAGTGAGTAAAAAAAATACACTCAAAACAAGTACCAGTGACCAAAACCTGAAGTACCGCCAGATCAGGAAAAACTTGAGCCACATGAAGTTTAGAACCTGCCAAAAAAAACATAATAAATTTCTTTGTTAAACAGAATTAATAATGAAATACAAGTTCTGTACAAAATATTCCTAAAAAAGAAAAGCAACCACTGGTTGCAAACAAAGGATGATGAAAGAGTTTCTTTTCCTTTTTGAGGGTCATATTTCAGGACCTAAACTGCTTTTGATTTTTATAGAAATTTTGCCTCCAGATTTGATATTGGAAGCGGTTGGTCTCGTATAGTCTCAATCTTAAGGTGTCTTCCCCTACATAGTACTAATTACTTGTATTATAACAAAAGAGACAACAATAACAAGCATTCTAGAAATAGAGGATTATGATAGATGACTGTTCCTGTGCTGGCACAAATAATATCCTTGTAAATTAACTGATATGTGATTAGAAGGAAAATTTGAAGGCAGAAAAGTGGATTTAGTACATTAAGAGGCTGTATGGATAGCAATGATAGAATCCGGATTCTGTACAAAATCAAATTAGGCTCAAAATCCAGGTTTTTGTCCAGATTCTACAAACTGATTCTAGAAGCATTTCTAAAATATAGCCCAATTCTAGAATCTATCTAGTATCTATAACCCATTTATAGGAATCTAGACTGCAGGTTCTGTTTTAATCCTACTTAGTTTAAAACCTCTTATTTCCAAGGCATTTATCCATAAATTTAGTTTTGCATTTAACCCCTTATCTAATTTGATCAATTATACTATGTCAATAGAAAACAACATCCGCCATAGGACCTCCATTTTGAATGTTTAGTCAATTCATCCATCACTGTTGCAAACAAATAAGGACCAAGTTGGAAGAAGCAAAGTTGCCACCATAGGTGTTAATAACATGTTGCCCAGCATACTGTTCCTAATTAGGCCAACCTACCTAATTGGTATTCCTTTCTTTTCCAGTGCCCACCATATTGTCTGTACAAAACTCTATCATATGCTTTCTCTAAATCAATGAATACCAGAATCCCTCTTTTCATCTCCCTAAACATTTCCTCTCCATCACACAGTCTATTGCATAACCTCACAAATATATCCTATAAATCCTACTTCGATAGAAAAAAAAACTAATTTCTGAACTCATACAAATCTTATTTCAATCCCTTCACATCACAATTTCACTTGCACCCAACCAAAATCCTAGTAATACCAATTTTCTAACCAGCCAAGCAACATATTCAATGTCTAGGTTTCCATAAAACACAAATGAAATGATATTCCATGTTATCCAGAAAACTTTATTATATAATTATATTGTCTAATAGCATCAGTTTAAAATCAATTACTAACAGAATAACAGACGAAGGGACTGAAAAAGAATCACTATTTGAAGTCAAGAATGTGAAGAACTACCTAGCATTCAATCTAGCAACATTAAAATGGCAAAGACCATTATTTGTCAAAAAACAAAATGTTAAAGATCATCATCTCTTACCCCATATCCAATAATGAACACCTCCAAAGGAGATAACTGTTTCCACAGGCCACTAAAAAAAGGAAAGAGAAAAATCAAACCCCAAATTTATTAAAAAAATCAAAAGACACTGGATAAAAAATCTGGAAAAGCACACTTCTGTACTGCACAAGAGACTCACCTGATGGAAAATGCATTATAATAAAAGAAATGTGTCATTACTTCCATGAGGAAAAGGCTTAGGACCCATCGGAGCCCATACCAAGCCATTTGTCCAACAGAGACATTTTTCTGCGGCATATCTAACTGCAAGACAATGACAACAAGAAGCCAACTTGATAACATCTTTTAAAAATTTCAATGCATGCTTATATATAAAGACTTCACAGTAGTAAAAGTCATGAACTTTATTCCCAGATTTAGCAACAACTCAGGAAGCATTTCTCCACCTAATTGGATGAGGATACAGTTCATTTATTCCAATTGACAAGAATTCAAGGCCCATGATTTAACAATGAACATGGCACTGAATGGAGTAGAACAGGATTCATATAACCAAGCCCACAAAATTGGGCTAAGGCTTTGTTAAGACATTATGCAGAAAGCATAACATGTCAAAAGTCCAAAGAGAAGTCAAACACAATAAGAAGTTGGCAGAGGAAATCAGGAAATGTTCACTTTTGGTGTGATAACTGGACAGAATATTCTCCATTAATAGACCACTTGGAGGATGTCTCTCCTTATTTGAAGGAATTAACATGCCAGTGGATGTAGTTCTTGATAGTGATGGAAGATGGAAAAGACAAGGTGTGGAGGACATATTTCCATCCAAAATAATCAACTTGCTAGATAATTCTAATTTAAAGATCATGGAGAGGGAGGATAAGATGATATGGGAAGAAGCCATAAATTGGTAGTTTTCTACAAAGATGGCATGGGAAGAAATCTGAAGTAGTGGGACATAAAACACAGCATAGAAATGGATGTGGAAGTGGTAGATACCAACCATGCTCTCAGTGCTGACATGGAAACTCTTCAAGCAAAAACTGCCAACTCATAAATATTAAGAGTTGTGAATTACGATCAAGAGAAGGATGTGGAGAATCTATTCTGCAATATATTCTACTGGAGGAAAGAATAGGGACTGGTATGAGTCCTTCTCTTTGTAACCAATATATCCATAACAAGGGATTGAGGACAACAATAAAAAGTCAGTTTAGTAGCAATTCATTCACTCGAGTAGTTGGTATGACTCCTATAATCATTTATTAGGAGGTCTAGAAGGAGAGAAAGTTCACAATTTTTCTTTTTTATGACTCATGGAACTACACAGTGGGGGTAGTCCGTCCCCCATACCCATAACCCCCCTTGTTGATTGCAGGATTTGATCCCAAGTCTCTACTACAACCAGCCAGGGAAATTACCAATTCAACCAACATCATTTGGTGGAGAGAAAGTTCAAAGTCTAAACTTCACAAAAGATGTAAATCAGTCCTCTAAAACTGATGTAAACTTGGAAAAATTAGAGAGAAAAGAGGAACGAAAGAAGAGAACAGACAAAAGAAAGAAGATGGAGAAAAGAAGAGGAAGAAGAAGTCGAATATCTCTTCCCTCCCTTCTCTAATCCTTTTACTAAACTTCAATCTTAGCATAATTACAAGTATACCCTTAAGTGGGTGGCAAGTTAGGCAGTAACATAAAGAGAACTAGTAAAAAGAAATAACAGGCCCATTAAGATAGGCCCAATAGCCATTAGCTAACAAATAAATAAAAACATACTACAAGAAAAGATACTAGGTGGGCCCAGTCTCTTTACACTCCCCCTCAAGCTGAGCATAGATGTCAATCATGCCCAGCTTGCTTATATGTGTTAGCTTCCCTCTCGGAACTCCCTTGGTCAAAATATCAGCCAACTGTTCTTCTGAGGTGATCAATGGCAAACAAACTTCTCCCGAGGAAATTCTTTCCCGTATAAAATGTCTATCAACCTCAATGTGTTTAGTTATGTCATGTTGAATAGGATTATGTGCAATATTGATAGCTACTTGGTTGTCACAGTAGAGCATCATTGGCTTCTCATGGTCAACCCCCAATTCTTCTAAAAGGGATCATAGCCACAGTAATTCTGACACACCATGTGCCATTGCCCTGTATTCTGCTTCAACAGATGATCTGGCAACTACAGACTGTTTCTTACTCCTCCATGAAACAATGTTCCCTGCCACAAAAGCACAATAACCTAAGGTGGATCTCTATCCTACCCAATCAGCATCAGTGTATGCTTCCAGCTTCATGTGTCCATGTTTGGCAAATAGAATACCTTTCCCTGGAGTGCCTTTCAAGTAACACAGAACTCTTTCTGCAACAGCTAAATGAGTATCTCTAGGAGAATGCATTAATTGACTAATAACACTCACTGCATAGGAAATGTCCGGTTGAGTCATGCAGAGATATAACAACTTCCCAAGCAGTCTCTGAAACACTCCCCTATCGGATAAAAGTTCATCTATAGCAGAAAGCTTATGATTGGGATCAATAGGAGTGGAGGCTGGTTTAGCACCAAGTTTACCAGTCTCAACGAGGTCAAGGACATATTTGCATTGAGAAATGAAGATACCATCCTTAGATCTAGCAACTTCAATGCCTAAAAAATATCGGAGATCTCCTAAATCCTTGATCTCAAATTCAGAGTTAAGAAATCTTTTGAGTTTACTGACCTCTTGGGTGTCATTACCCGTGACCACAATATCATCAACATAAACTACGAGAAAGGTCACCAGAGAGCCACTTCTTTTCAAGAACAAGGTATGGTCAAATTGAGTTTGTGTGTAACCAAACGAAACAAGAGCAGCCCTGAACCTCTCAAACCAAGCCCGAGGAGACTCTGAGACCATAAATGGATTTTTGTAATTTACACACCTTCCCTTGCATTTCCTTTCCATACACCCCCAAAGGCAAAGACATATAGACCTCTTTATGTAGATCTCCATTCAAGAAGGCATTTTTAACATCAAACTAGTGAAGAGGCCAATCAAAAGTAGTAGCTAGAGATAACAAAACCCGGACTAAGGTCATCTTAGCCACAAGAGCAAATGTCTCAAGATAGTCAATACCATACGTTTGACTGTAGCCTTTAGCAACCAGCCTGGCCTTAAATCTCTCAATAGAACCATCATAATGATATTTAATAGCAAATACCCATTTACAACCCACTGGTTCCTTCCCTTCTGGCAAGTCAACAATATCCCAGGTATGGTTCTTATGCAAAGCATCCAATTCAGCCATCATAGCATCCCTCCATTCAGGTTTAGATGGGCTTCTGGTATAGACCTGGGTATCACATGGGGAGAAACAAAAGCAAGAAAAGAGTAGTAGGTAGGAGATAGAAGGCTATAGGACAGGTGTTTAGAGATACAATGGGTTGTACACTTCCGCTTGCCCTTGCGAAGATCAAGGTCTGGGAAAGAAGTAGATGGGCCAAAGGAAGGCTGACTTGTTACCTTAGTAATGATGGGAGGAGCAAGAGGCTCTTTTGAAGGAGTGGAAACAACTTGCCCATGTCTGAATCTGTGTCTTTGGTACCACCTTTGGAGAACAGAATGAGGAGGACTTATAGGAGTATAAGGTGGAGGAGGAGCAGGAATACTAGTGGTATGTCCAGTGGGAGAAGTGGACACCTCATCAGATGACTTAAAAGGAATAGGAAGAGGAATTGTTGGAGACATAACAAAGGGTTCCTCTGATTTCTCCCCCTTAGGAGGAATACTAAAGAAAGGAGTAGACTCAGCAAATGTGACATCACGAGATACAAAGCGGGTGCCACTAATCGGATCAAAACAGCAATATCCCTTTTGCATGGGACCATATTCCAGAAAAACACATTTACAAGCCTTAGGTTCAAATTTGTGCCTTTGATGGCTATGAACATGCACATAGCAAGTGCACCCAAAAACACGGAGAGGAAGAGAGAAGAGATCCTCATCCAGAAAGAGAAGGCTAAAGGGGGTTTTGAAGCCAAAAACCCGGGAAGGCATACGGTTAACCAAAAAGGTAGCAGTAAGGATAGCATCTCCCCAAAATTTTATAAGAACATGGGATGCAAAAAGGAGGGATCTGGCAACTTCAACCACATTTTGTTGTGGAGTGTAGGAACAAGAGCTTTGATGAGTAACCCCAAAAGTTTGAAGATAGGCTGAGAGGGTTTTCTCAAAATACTCCTTAGCATTATCAGAACAGAATATTTTGATCCGGGTGTTAAACTGGTAAGGATGAATTCATGAAATTTTTGCACAATAGTTGGTATTTCATCCCAGGATTTCATGAGATAAATCTAAGTGTAATGAGAATAATCATCAATAAAAAGGATAAAGTACCTGTAACCCCCCATAGTAGGCAAATGATATGGCCCCCACACATCAGAGTGAACAATATGAAAAGGAGAAATATATCTTTTATTGCTTATTGGATAAGAGTGTCTACAATGCTTTGCCAGTTCACACGATTCACAATGAAGACTTAATAAAGACGCGCCCTTAAACATATCTGGAAACAAATGACTCAAAGCAGAAAAAGACAAATGACCAAACCAAAAGTGACATAACATGACTTTGTTAACAGACTCTGACAAGACTGACTCCAAGGCAACTCCATGAGGTGGTCCAAGAGCTCTATCAGGTGTGTCCAGCAGTATATTCCATTCGCCTCATGGCCACTCCCAACCATCCTCTGAGATTGCAAGTCCTGAAAAACATAATGAGTGGGAAAGAAGGTTATGCTACAGTTCATGTATTTAGTTAAGCTGCTAATAGATAAAAGATTTGTATTAAGTTTAGGGACATGAAGGACAGAGGATAAATAAAGGGTGTCAGAGGTCTTTATATCCCCTTTGCCGAAATGGGAGCAAGAGACCCATCAACAAGGGATATTTCCTCTTTACCAGAGAAGAGGTGGTATGAACAAAAAAGATTAGATAAGCTGGTCATATGGTCTGATGCACCAGAATCAATGATCCAAGGGATTTTATGATTACCTGAAACTGAAGCATGGTTTGTAGAAGCATGAATACCTGAGTGAGCAAATGCTGGTGATGATGATTTGTTGCTTGAAGAGTGAGATGTAGAAACAATAGCCTCCAAGTGATTTAACAACCTTCCATACTTTTCAAAATCTGCCTTCATTGCTGCCAACTATTCAATGGTTGACTTCTCTTCACACTCCTTACTTCCTCCTTCCAGTATTGTGGCAACATTAGTTGTCTTAGGCTTTCTTGTCTGACTGCCCTTCTTAAAATTGTTGTTATTCTTAAA